AAGGTTTATTTTTAAGATATGCACTTGAATAAATTGTAAACATACTACTTTCAAATTATGTAGCTTTTGCCTTCAGCGTATACTTTGTTGCCTTTTTGAAATGTTCCGTGATGTACACGACACATGAATTAAGATTATAGTATTAGGAAATAGATTCTGATTCTGTCCTTTTAGATCAAAGTTTAAATGAATGATATTTAGGACCAATTTCAACTAGTCTAAACAAATGTAACAAGCCTTGTTTTACATTCTTAAAATTGAATAATGAATTAATGGAATGGTGGAATTTTAGATTTGGAAAACTTTTGATTTGAGCTATCTTAGCAATGTATTTTGAGATACTGTGGATTATTGCGGTATCTTTAAAGGATATTTTCATTACACTCATACAATTATTGTTATACTTTTATTCGCTTTGAAGATCAAATTCACTTACTTAACTTGCATCAGAATTAAATCAAGATATAATAGGATTTATATTAACACTATTTAACTAGTCACAAATTTGGCATCTAAGATAACAATACGACTATCACAGTGTGTTTCTTCTGTTGTTACTCTGCATTCAATAACCAACTAATTAATAGATGCAAAGCACCTTTCAGGTAAATGCAAATTCTTTCAATGTTTCTTTTTGTCTTATACATTTACATGCTTTTTCAGTTGAAAGATTTATTTTATGCATTCATGCAAAATGTTATGAAGAGTAAAATTCAAGGTTTCTATGTAAGGATTCAACATAGAGGTGCCATGGGAAAATTCCTCAAATGTTTTCATACACACACACACACACACACACACACACACACACATACACTCAGAGTACTATAAAAATATATGTATCATTTATGTTCATAATGGTATAGGTCTCTACAATAAATAACGTCTTTACATAGTCTGATGTCATTCGCAATTAGCAATTTTTTAGTGAAAATTTTTTCCAAAATAAATTGACTTCATAGAATGTTTGAATTGCTAACATTCTGGGAGCAACATCTTATCATTTCTGTGATGCAAGTGTAACTACAACTGTCCAGGGTGATGAAGATAGTGAATAATGGGGATCCTCACTTCCTGTTACCTCTTCTATGGCTCAGTCTCCACAAAGAACAAGATACTTGTTCAACACAAAGTACAAGAATATTTCCCATTCTTCCTATTACAATAATTTTCTATTGAACATTTATCATCACTAAAGTGAAAAAATAATGCAAAAAGTTATAATGCAATTGATGGAATTTTCCACCCCTCCCATGCTACTTCCTCAGTACTTTCCTTTGCCCAGACTGTCGCTGGGAGCTCTCTTTAGGTTCCAGATTCACACTGGTGTGATACCAAGAATTGTTTCATTCCTTCTAGGGTTAACAATGGCTTCAGAAAATATCTTGGTTCTGGAATATGCCTAGTTTTTGAAAAGCACATCTTGTGAAAGTCACTAGTCCAATATTTTTTTTGGTTAATTCATATAGGAATCATCATAAACATCTGTGCATCTTTAGACCTGAATTTCTCTTCTCTGAACTTCTGTATAAGCAGCAACATCAGAACATATTTCAAAAACAAGTTCTTTGTAAAACCCAGTTTCCATCAGACTCCTTACCTGAGATTTAGTAGCAAACCATTAACCTTACACCTATTCATGGATATTATGTATTGCAGTGTAAATTGGGTGTTCACAGATACAAGACACACTCAGATGGTGTGTTCCACAATGAGCCTCAAGATACCATAAATGAAGGTTGTAAATTTTTGAGTATTTAAGCAATCTTGTGTAAATAAAAAATATTATGATCAAAAGCAATGTTTACAAGTTTTTTCCCCCCACCTCCTCCCTTCACTGTACCAAAAGTGACGTTATCCAGAAAAGAGTCTAAGCTGTACCTACTACATCCACTTAAGGTAATGGAAGTTCTCTTCGTTTCTTAAGGCAAAACCAATCTTGTAAAGATGATGCCTGCTCTTCTTGCACATGGACCTTAATGGAAAAATGATTATGACTCCTCCGTACCGCTGGATTCTAACATGAAAACCACCAACAAGCACTTTTTGCTTCTTTACAGTCAGCTAGGAATACTGAGAGTGTACAAGCAGCAACTGGGTGGTTGTGATGTAATTTTTAAAAATCATATTTTCTGGTAAAAACAAACAATAGGCTGTCTTGTAACAAAAAGCCGTCAATCACAGCCATGTTAAATTAATAAGGTTTGAGTTGATTTGCCCCTTTTTGTTAAATATCCGGACTAAGGAAATGTCCCTCCCCCACCCTTAAAAAATCGTTTATCAGGAACCAGTTCAGCCAGACTGACACCTAATGGAAACTTTTATAAGTAAATAATTCTTCAAGAGAAAGAAAGTAACTGGATTAAAAATTGAAACCACTCAATCAGGAGAAAATCAAACAGTTTGTCATAGCATGGGCAGAGGCCTCCTTTCCTTTTCCCTTCCCATTATCCCCCTCTAAAACTTATTATTCATTTATGAAGCAATTTCAATCATGAGCTGAAGTGCCAGTGCCAAAGAACTGAGTGAAATAGCTTATTTTCCAAAAAGATTTTGCTTATTCCCACAACAAGTCATGAGATATGACATTTTCTCTCTCTCCTTCCAATACCAGGCCCTCAGCTCTGTCTGTCCTTAAACCTTCCAAACTTAGCTAATCAACCACCATGAGAACAACTTTCCAGGCATAACCTAACAACTAGCCTACACCACTCCTCTCTACTTTCCTAATTTCCAGGGAAACAACGGCACACATACACATACTGAGTATTGTTAGATACATAACAAGCACGAAATTTAAAGCCCCTAATCACCAACTGGAGAAAGAAGGTTAATTCTTGGAACAATGAAAGAAAGAACCTCGGTTACATATTTTTCTTGGTAGTAACAGAATGTTGCAGACAGAGACAGCCTCTGTCTGCCTGCTTCTTCTTATTCTGAAAACCGGCTCATTCCCAGGAGTCTGAACAGGACCCCACCCGTTTCCCCTCTCATCAGCATAGCTAAAGAACAAGAGTTAGGAGTCTAGACAGCCTGGATCTCAGCCTGGGACCAAACAGTAGGGGTAGGAAGAGAGAAAAAGAGAAAAGGGGCGTGGAGAACTCTTCATTACTGATCTATTGCTGGAAGAAAGGGGGAGACCTTAAGTGGGAAGGCTATTTCCGCGAGGCACCTCGCTTGCAGTCTCTCTAGGGTTCAGTTTGCTCTTGTGGGCAAGGACCCAGTAGAGAGAATGTAAGTCTTGCACCGGGAATGGCATATACTCCAGAGGGAGAAGGTGACTGGACACAACTGAGCCTAGAGTGGGTCCAGGCACGCCACGGGGGAGAGCTGCTTTCTGTTCTCCAGCAACTTCGACTTCTCAGGAATTCAGTCTTCTTCGCAGCCAAACAAGATCAACCGCTACACACAAGGGAGGAAAACTGGTCTTAAGTCTAACCGCGCCTGATGGAACCTTCTGGGCACCTGGATGACTTTTCTCCTCAATATTTCACCTCCCATATTTGACGCGCCACCACCCAAAGAACCCTTGCAGCTTCCCAAGAGTAATAAAAGCGAGCTGCATAGTTGAAAGGTTCGCTGTCAGCTAGAGCTAAGCTCTGTGAGCCTCTGCCAGCGCTTTCCACCACGGTGGACCTTATCTTCCGGCTCCAAGGAACATCTTAAACTCCTGCTAGGTCCGCTTGCCCCAGGAATTCCGGGGTGTGCTGGAAGGGTCCCGCCAGCGATTGCTTTCTCTTCGCTAGGAGGGGATGCATCCACATTGCTTTATGGTCCATCAACGTTAGAAACAGACCAAAAAAAAAAAAAATGCAAGAAGATTGGAGGGTTTTCTCTTCCTCCCATCCATCTCTGGCAGACCTGATACTAGTAACATGCCTTGATTTTTGTGGATGTTTGAGACTCATCCCAAAGGCAGAGGTAGGGAAGGCAGCGCTGGAGAAGTGTCCCAAAGAAACTGGACACCTGAACAGTCACCGCTTGCCCCAACCTCTTTCAGGAAGGTTCCAGCTCCGTACCACAGTGCAACCAATCCGATTACCAGCCTGCTTCTCCACCTCTCCACGGAGAATCCGAAAAGAAAATAAGGGTTCCTGAGAAACCCACAACACTTGTAATCTGAAAGTTCCATGGGGACCCAGTCCCCTGTCCCCCGCCCCTCCTCTAGCTGGGTTGCCAAGTCTGCCGGCTGAACGGGTCGACCGGCTGCGGGTGGGGCTCCGGCTCCGCCCCAGGCCGGGAATTCGCGAAGTCACGAGCTTGGACAAGCTTGCCCGGGGCACCTTAGCCCACGGACACGCCCTTTCTGCCGAGGCATGCCCCAGGCGACCCTCTTCCCTGTTCTAGCTCAACGCTCAGAGGCGTTACTAAACCGGTCCAGGCCTTCCAATCCTTTGCAACTTTAGAGAATCTTTCAGATCCACTCCTTGTCCCCTTGCCCTCCAGTCACATTCCAGAAAGAGAGAGAGAGAGAGAGAGAGAGAGAGAGAGAGAGAGAGAGAGAGAGAGAGACACACCCAAAGGGACACGAACGGCCCCACAGCCCACAAGCCGGGTTTCAGAGACCCTCTTCCTCTCTCCGCCCCTCCCCTCTCCTCCGCCTGCCCCCCCCCCGCCCCCTCCCCGGCGCGCACCCATTTTTTTCTCCCTTCTAAAAAGCAGTGTGGGTCAGCAGAGGTGTTGGGAAGACCCAGAACGAAACCACCCGAGGAAAAGAAAACATAGAAGTGCTACCTTGGCAACCGGGAGCTTTTAGTGGCCAGCTGGTGGGCTGGGAGGGGCGGCTGCTGCCCGCCTGCCGCTGGTACTCTCCTCGACTACGCGTATTCTTAAGCAATAACAACGTAATCCGTATTATCCACCCAAGAATACCCGTCACCGAAGAGAGTCAGAGGGCCAAGCTGCCGCTGCCTCTGCCGCTGCTACCGCTGTCGCTGCTGCCGCCGACACCACCAGAAAGAACTCTTGCTGCCGAGCCCGCCCCTGGCTGGGGTTGGGCTGAGCTTGACCGGGACCATAAATCCATAACTCGATTTCCCTAAAGAAGGCTCCAAAGCTGTGCTCTGCTGCTTCCTGCCCAGATCCTCCAAATGGCTGTTCTATTTCCAATTCTGAAAGACAAATCACAGAACCAGCCACTTAACACACAAGAGACAAGTGCTTTCTTTCCACGGAGCTGGGACTAGGTGCCAGTGCTCTTTGGGGAGTGATAAGTAACATTCAGTTTACCTGGTGATCGCCCGGCGCTCTCCTTAGTACTTGCTCTGCTTTCTGCCCACTCTGGTCATGGGCTGCCCACTCTAGGTGCTTTGATTGAGTGTCATGGCAGCGAGCGAACCCTGTAGAAGACATGCATAGTTAAGCACACAAACATTACAAATGTGTTTGCCTGGACGGCTTTAGGAAGAAGTGAGACTCAGATCAAGATCAGGTCATGCATGGGCGAAATTTTCAACAGTGTGTTTTGGAAATGCATGGTCTCAAGCTTAAGAGCACAGAAAATAAACACTCATTCAATTTACTACTTAAAATAAAATGCTTATAGAGCAGCGAAAAAATAGGCATCTCCCCTCTGAAGGCCTTAGAGCTATATACAACATAATGGCTTTAAAGGGGAAGGTAACAGCTTCAAGGCACAAAATAATTAAACCCATTTTCCATACTATCTGAACTCACTAAGTTGACAAGCTGGTAGAGCTTCTAGGGTTTAAGCATCATTTAGGACTGCCAGGGCGTTTAATTTCTCAGCCCACATCTCAGGACTCACTATCAATACATCACTCTGCCGTGTTGAGAACACCTCTACAGAAATCCCTTTGAAGCTCTGTCCTCATGCACATAATTTTGAGGAGGAACTCAATAAAAAACTCATTTTCAAAGTGACTAAATTTGACATCCAGAGAAATATCCCCAGTTCCTTGATGATCTACACAGCATTTACTTGGACAGCTTTGTCTTAAGACCATGCAGTGGATATTCTGACAAATGGGGGTTTATTGTTCACTAAATAAAACAGACCAGTGGAACACCACCACCCAAGACATGCTGCAGCTCCATTAGAAAGTTCTCAATTTGGCTCTTGCTTTACTTTCTAATACGTGAAAGTACATCTATGTGAGTGTGTAGGGGAGGGATATGGAACGGTGGCAACAGACATGATTTCTCAAATTATGTAAGTGCAAATAGTTCTTCATCAAGGAGTAATTATGTAACCATTCTCCCACCACCTCAACTCATATCTAGCTGACCTGGTTGTAATTTAAGACACTCAGGTTGTGCCTGCTCTCATTATTATTTGTGATATAATACTTCTCCAGGCAAGACACCTCGTCATTTTCCTGACACATTACTTACAAGTAGAAAAACCAACATGATTTCTAGATTTTATGATTTATCTCTGTCTGAAATAACTCAAAAGAAAAATAGTACTTCCCACTGACTAGCCTATTTTGTGGTATCTTTTTAGGTAACTCATGATTACACCATAAACCAAAAGACTCAAGGCAGTGAAACAATTAATAAATACTATTTTCTGCCATTACCCAACACAGATGTAAAATGGAGCTTTTCCCTGCTACTACAACCAGGAAAAAAAAAAATCAAGAAAGCTGACAGGTTCCCTTTAGCCTGAACTCCTAGAAACAAAAGCCCTTAGGGAAAGTAATGCAATAGTCTGTGAGCCAAGTGTGCATTTCCTCCTGAACTCTTTTATTTAAAATCTCAACTACCCCTAAAAGGAAATCAAGACACATTGTATAAATAGGATTTGATTTACTAAATGGAATGATTTTTTTTTCAATTCAGAAGGATGGTTAAGGCACACACACACACACACATACACATACACACACCCCACATGCACACATTCTCCTCATTCTGTAGAATCACGGCATGAATGCCCACACAGCTTTTCAGTGCTTTCCAAGTACTTTCTCTTAGTTTATCATAATTCCGGGAAAATCACACAAACACAAATACACACACACTTACACGGACACGGACACGAACGCATACACGGAAGTCAGACACACGGACATACACAGAGACTCACAGACTTGCATGCTTAAAAGAAAAGAAAACCTAGAACAACGCAGTCGATAGGTTTTCTTCCTAGCCAGGCACCAGAGACAGCCCTTTCCCTACATACCAAATGCTCCACACTTCAGCACCTGGACCAGTGGACAGCTCAGCCCAGGCAGACAGCCCGCAGCACTTCCAACAGAACTGACGCTCCGAGCTCTAACCACAGCTCTGGTGCTTCAGCGGGGCAGCCTGACTTACGAGAACACCATTTCCTACGAGACCACTGCCGCTGGGTGCATATTCAATTCAAACCTCCTTAAGCTGTCGGATTTCCCCCACCCATCTACCCTCCCCACCCCCCTCCACCCTCCACACAAAAACGGAAAAGGGAAAAAGCCCAATACTACCAGGGCATTTGTTGATCAACTTACACTTTCCTTTTGAATATTTAGGTACCGCTATCGGAGCAATAGCAGCGGAGGCTTAGGTCCGCATTAAGTACCTTTGTTCGTCGACTCCTGCAAGCCATGTTTATTAGAATCTACAATTCTCTCTCGCCCCAGTAATTGGAGGTGTGTTTTTCAGGCAAGGGACAAGGGGTGCTTTTGGCACCTTTTGATCTCTGAAAGCCACTGCGACTATCTCAGTGTTCCCTTTCCCTGTACTTCCCCACCCTGTTCCCCATTCGCCAGCACCCATCCCAGCTAAACGCTTGGTAATTAAAAACCAAATATACATAAAGAAAGCTACAAAACAATCGGTGTAGGAAATAAGGCAATTAAGCTAAGGCAGAAATTCTCTCTCTCTCTCTCTCTCTCTCTCTCTCTCTCCTCTCCCCCTCCCTCCCTCTCTCCCTCCTCCCTCCTTCTCTCTCTCTCCTTTCCTCTCAAGTAGAAAGGGGAAAACACGAAGGAGAGGGAAAAATCGGGAGGAGGGTGGTAGTGGACTCCTACAATCAATGACAAAACACTATACACATCGTCACCGAATAACACTCTCGATCTCAGACAAAAAGAAACCCATTTACCGATGTAAACATAGTCGCCCTCTCCCACACATCCCACATCCTTTGCGTTTGCTGAGATTTGTCTGCGGTATCGCAGGTATAGCAAAGTAACTGTCACAAATCCGTCTAGAATGAAGTGCTTACCCTCTAAATCCAGGTTGCCGGCGGAACTCCAACTGTGTGCAGAAGCCAGGAGTCATCCGATGGGCGGCTAGGCAGGCTTGGGCAGTGGGAGACGCTGCTCTCTGAGCGCCGGGTTACAGTGTTAACAAGCCCTGGGAAGAGACCTCCTCGCCTCGCGCTGGCTGTGCCCCAGTGCCTTCGCGTGGTGGCGGCTTGCTCATGCTTCGGAGGAGTCCCAGGCGAGAGCCTTCAGCTGATGCGAGCTTCCAGAAAGGCGTGGGGAAGGGGGAAAAATCATCTAATGCAATCAAATCGATCTGATCTACACCATCTGTCGCCTGCCACTATACACAAACGTTAAAATAGGAAAACGGAAAACACTGACAGCCCGAGAAGGTTGGTCTGCAAAGAGTTCATTTTTAGCAAAGCATAATTGGGTATGGTCGGCGTACAGTTACAAAAGCCGCTGTTAACCATCCAGTAGTGGACCCCGAACATGCTAATGGTGGATTAATTGAGGAAGATCTGACGTGTGAGCTTCATAGTCTCTTATTCATGACTTCCCAATGGGAAAGGACCAATGCCTTGTGGGACTATGGTAACATACAGTCAAAAAGCTGCTAAGAAAATGGCTGTGTGTTCACAGCACCTCTCTCTGATAACAAACATATGTCGACTAAAACGGTTGAGTAGAATGGGAGGGGGTGTTGGAGAATAAAATTTTCTTTCCCCATGTAAGCAACCCCTATATCATTTCCTAAAAGAAAAGCAAATATAAATACCACATCTTTAACGTAGTGGGAAGAAAGGGATGCTTTTAAAGGCTTTTTTAAAAAATAAATAATAAATCAAGATCAAACTCTGTCATATAAAAGAAAAGGAACACTCTTACATAGCAGTTCTTTTAAAAAAATCTATTCTTTTTTTTTCTTTCCTGCAATCAAATTACTTGCATAGCATGTGCTGCATATAGAAACAACCTAGTAAATACCACTAGTATTGACTCAGGGTTGTTTAGTGCCAGGGTCCCCTTTTTGACTTATTGAAATCAGGATGCCTTTCAGGTAAACATTTTGTATAATTTAAAATTGATTTCATAAACATTAAGTGTGATTTAAAGGAGGAGTTGGGGAGAGTTTTCCGTCTGTCTGTTTTGTTTTGTTTTAAATTCAATTCTACAATCACCCTTTCCACCCAAATACCTTTTGGTGTGTCTCAGGTCTATGCTAAACATTTAATGGGAGAGATAAGGGAAGTGGGGAAAGGGTGGAGATATCAGGGAGAGGAAAAGAGTGTAGAGTACTAATAACCACCACATTCTATTCTATTTGTAACAGAAAAATATAGGGCAATGGAAGATATTATATCCTGTCAATTGTGATATTTAAATACATACCAGTGTTCAAAATCAATGTTTTCTATATAGAGAGAAAGCATACTTTAAACAGTGGGTGACTTTCTCTCATCTATTTGCAATTTTCAGATATATTTTATGTGTATGAAACATTATTTTATTATCTATCTAAATATGCTACATTTCTCTTATGTTTCACATCCATTTGAGCATCAATAATCATATTCACTTCATTCTGACTCTTTTTTTTAATAAAAGAACATTACATCAATTCTTTAGTAAACAATTCGTATTTAAGATAATTCTTGAGATAGGTGAATGTGTCTCCTAAAAACTCGGATAATCTCTTTAAGAAAAAAAAGCTGAATTAGATTAGTCTAAAAATATAGCTTGAAGACAAATCAAACAATTTACCTGATCTTTTGTTTCAATATACATTAATTAAGCACTCTTTCCAACCTACACAACATTCCAGGGTCATAGCCAGAAATTCAAGCCTAATAGCTTAGCAGCCTTTGTTGTCATTCACGTCAAGCTATTGCCCCCTGCAGGTCAGGTTGAAAGTGCAGGCAGATTTTGACCAGGTCCTCAGAAAATTTATGGTCATGATATTTCAGGCTCAACTAATAAGAAAGTAGAGTTTAAAATATTTACCTTTGCTTTGTGTTGGTTTAGAAATAGCTAGCACATTCACAAATGGACATTCAAGAGCATACAGATTCTAAGTTTTCTTCTGAGAACTCAGCTGGGGGAGGGAGAGCAAACAATCTACGTTTTTTCTCAGGACATGGTAAAATCATTGGTGTACTTAACACTCGTCACAATTCCTTATTTATTCTTTTACCACACGAACCAGCAAAACTCAAAAAAATGAGAAATTTAAAATAGTTTTTTTTTGTAATAAATTTGTAGTCCTGGACAATTTGCTACTTCACCTGATTGTGCTCTTGGTAGACTCTGTGGAGTACACTCAAATCAAGCCCTTAAGGTTTTCCCCTCTGTTCACAGAATGGAGACAAAGACACTGTTTTCTTTTTCTTCTTGGTTATAAGATGAAATATTATTTCAGCTTTCATACTTCTCCTATATCATCACCCATTCTCAAAATTAAGTCGTACAAATGAAGCACCTTCTGAAGAGGAAATATATCTGGAATTAACAAAATAGACCTCAAATTACCCCACTGTGTCTACAGTCTCTGGAAGTAAAGCAGGTTTATGGGGATAATTCAGAAGGCTTATTGGAAAATTCATATTTGGGGAGTCAATAAATTCCCACTGAGTTACTATTTAAACTCAAGATCTCATTGAGAAATAGAATGTCTATCTTATGTAACATGTCATATATTCTAATGACAAATTATCACTAAGCATTTGTCTCAGCCAAATTTTGGAGGCATAATTTTCCACATTGTATGGAAGTAGTTAAAAACAAATTGCTTTGCCATCTTAAAAGTACTTGAAAATGCTTACAGAAGACTTTGTGACAAGACTCAGAGCATCGTAGGGTATTTTGCCCTCAAGATATTCTAGAAAGTCATGGATGATAGGAACTATTCATAATGCTCCCATCTTCAATCACACTAAAAGCAAAACAAACAACAAAAAAAAAGCTTGACGACTTTCTTTTCTTAAATTTCCTCTTTAGAGTAAGTTGGACATTTCGAAAGAACACTGATCTACACATAATATTCTTTATCTCTAAAATTCATAAACTCCACTCCATGTTAAAGAGGGGCCTTGGCTAGGCTGTTGGGTTATTTATTGTAGGAATACCAGAACAACTAGTTGCCTGTAGCTGACATTTCTAGCTGTCTTTAAAGAAATGAAAACTCATTTCCCTTTCAAGCTATAAGTCCTATATATGATACCATTCTCATGCATTATTGCATTATTCACAAGTGCATGGCTATTAAGTCTGAAAATTTGAATACCTTGATTTATATGCTTAACCAGAGAGTTTGTCGTTAGTGCCCCTAAAAGAGAGGCGGTGTCCCTTGACCTGACATCTGACCATAAGGGTGGGGAATGTTTAGTTCTCCCTACACCAGACAAAGCACCTTGCTTGCAAGTGTTCTGAAAAACACAACCATACTGTTTTACTATCACTGCTCTGTTTCCAAAAGAACAAAAGAGAGTTCTAGAAGCCGGTGGTGTGATGTTCTTACTGATGGAATGGTGGGTTACTAAACATGTAAATTTTCCGGCGCCAAAGACCATCCAACCCATCCCATTCACTCAACTCAGTTTCTTGCTGGAGGAATGAGAAATAAAGAGGGTTGGGGGAGGTGTGTTAGCGGTATGCGTGGTAGTGGGAGGGGTCCTGTGCACCTGGGTGGATGTGAGGTGTTTGGGGAGACAGTATTGGAAATGGTTAATTTATGCAGATTTTAGGTCAATTAAAAACTCGTTTTAGCGCAGTTTTAAGAGAGGGCCCAGAAGGCAGTGGGAAGTTTAGCTCTCCCCAGTAGGCCCAGCGCTAGAGAATGCTACATGACCTGTAGATTGAGCAACTACTGCTGATTAGCTCTTGTTGGGACAGGTGACTCCCTCAGTTAAGAAAGGGAAGTAAAACACCACAGATCTCATACCAAGTTAAGCAACGCCAAACGAACGTGTGGTTTATACAGAACATCAAAAGATCAGCCCTAGCTCTTTCTGGCCGAGTAATCTGCTCTTTGCTGCTCAGCAAGCGCAAGATATGGGCCACACCAGGACGCCTGGTGGCATCTATCCCTGCACCGAACCTCGTGGTCGCTTGACTTCTTCAGGGTTCTGGCAGGCGACTTTTGCTGGCTTCCTAATGTCCTAACGATGAAGGCTGGCCATCTGAACCCGAGATGAACCGGGACCGAGAAGGCTGAAGCAAAACAGCGTCGGGGGACTCCGTAGGGGTAAGGCAAGAGACGCACCCTTGTGCCGAGCCCCACCCCTCCAGGAAGCGATTTGGCGAAAAGCAACCCAGGCCAGTCACTGTGCGCATTGCCCTGGCTGGAATGGTCTCTAGTCCTCGCCATCCTCCCACCACTCTCTGAAACATCCCTTCCCACGCCCGAGTCCCGGGTCTCGCCGCTGTGCCCACCGAGTTTGGAGAAGAGCTCAGGGGCCCCCTGCTGGCCAGACACAGTCTGCGCGCAGCGACCCTCTCCAGGTTCCCTTTGCCCGGCCCCACCCACACCCAACTGGACCCTTCCGCTCCCCCAGTGTAGGGAACCAGTTCAAACAAACAGAAAACCAAGCCCACCAAACAAAGCACCTGGGAGGTGGCGGCTGGGGGAGGGGGAGGGGGAAAACAAAACCAAAGAAAGCTTGCTCACCTCCTTTACTGCTCAAAGAAAGTGCGACTTTAACCTCTCCCTAGGTCCTCAGGGATCCTTTCCTATATCCCTAGATGAGGCATGAAGGTTGGGTGTTCAAGAAACCGACTCTTCCCCCTCAATAAAAAAAAAAAATAGGAAAAAAAGAGTCACAGCTGCTGTTCAAAACATGTTTTGCAAGCATCATGACCACACACACGCACACACACACACACACACACACACACACGCACAGTCTTCACTCAAGAAAACAAGAAAACCCACATTTATCAGCTCTGCAGAGCTCTGATGACATGTTTCTGGAAGCTTTTCATCAATGATTGGAGGAAATAGGGTCCTGTGAGTTGGGAAGAAGAGGGAGGGGAACCAGGACCCTCTTCCACCCCTTTCTTTTCCTACCTGCGCTGTATTCATCCTTAAGGAAATTTCCATCCTTATACACTGTGCCTGAACCTCTCACTCAGAAATAGAGAAGGGATTATTCTGTTTATCTATGCAATTCATGACTTCGTTTTGTACGGTGTTTTGAAAGTAGTTTAG